AAATCGCTTGTTTATTTTAGATCTGTGTGGCAGCAGCAATATACAGTAAATAAATCAATAAATGCACTGCTCTGTCGTCTCCTCTGAGGCTGGGACTCTAAACAGTGTTCTGTGCTCGTCTGTGCAGCCAAACACAGAACAGTCAGCATGCTTTGCTCAAACTTTCATCATGACTTTAGAACTAATATACCGTTGTCGCTTACGAAAACACAATAACGGCGCCGTGGGTGGAAACTTACAGATTAAGGGGCGGTAATATTAAGGTGTTTCACAAACCTGGCATTTTGTATTACACATGTTGTTAGCTCTTAGGCGAATTGTTTCGCTTGGATAAAAGCATCTTCTAAATGCACGAATGTAAAATGTTAATAAAGCAGATAAGCATTCGATCGTTGAGCATCGCTGTCCTCAAAAAGCCTGGTGGGCAGCGTTTGCCTGTTTATTCATTCAGCTCATATCAGCCAGACTCTCTGTTTGCTTTAATCATTCAGCTCTTCATTTACTAACCGCGCGCTGTAACCTGATAAACGGGTGTGAATGACAGAGTGGAATACACACTTCTCTGGGTTATAGACGCTCAGCTCCTCCAGAAACAGGCTGTCGTTCAGGAAGCCGCTCCGCATCTTGGCCAGGAACTTCAGCACGATTCCTCGCTCCGATCCCAGGAAAACCACGGTGTGGTTGCGATGAGGGCCGGCGGCGTTATCCACGGCTATACGAGTCAGACGATATCTGCCAGACAGACAGAATACAGTCTTAACTTCATTCATGAACACTAGGACTATGACCTTTCAAGACGAAGATGAGACGAGACATCATTAAACATGCATTATCTGTGACGAAAAAAGACAAGACTAAAATGTAGTTTAAAAAATAAGAAAACTCTCTTTATCCAAAATTTCTCTATTTTCTTCAAAAAAAAAAAAAAGAGTGGAGTAGAAAAAAAACTGTTTTCATGAAAAAAATGTTTTCATGCTTGGTGTTGCCAGATGTCTGATGTGATTTCTCAAACGACAACAATCATGATCAATAATCGCCATTATAGTTTTGAGGAAAATAATTGTGATTATCAAGTTAACCATTATGCAGCATGACTAAAACTAGACTAAAATTCCCAGACTTTTAGTCAACTAAAACTTGACTAAACAAAAAAAAACAAGACAGGTTGAGTAAATATGACAAAAACTAAAAAGGAATTTGATACAGAACTAAGACTAGATTAAGGAATTATATTACAATGAATTTCCATTGATTTTCAGACTCGCTAAAGGAATTAAAGCGTTATCTGGCGACTGCCATTCCAATTAGCAGCTCATCTCAGTCTTAATCAAATGTATGTATAATTTCCAAATCCGTATGCAAATACATTTTCAGGCTAATTAAAACTGGCAAGATGGAAATAAGAAGACAAATAAATTATACACTTTCCAAATCTGTGGAGTCTTTGAAGACGAGAGAAACAGATACAGACGCTTCTTCAGCAAATGTGTTTTCAATAACTCGGTTTTACTGGGGCACATTCACTCAAATCCAAATGAACAAACTTATCAGGCTGAAACCAGACGTCGCTTCAAAGAGTCTCGTTCTGCTAGAAACAGATGATTCTCTCATAATTCATTTCATCATAGCAAAACAGGCAGCAGTCTTTCACTGTGCTTTTATAAGGAAGATACGTCATCTTTCCTTCAGGGTTGAGCTGATTCAAAGATCTCATGTATCGCTAAGGTTTCATGTCTGAATTCAATGCAAATGACTCGATTCATCCATGAAAATGAGCAGCGCTTCTGAAGATGGACTCGATTATTTATTTGCATGACAATAATCTCCATGCATGATGCAGAAGGACCTCTGACCCGACTCGACTCACCGGACCATCGTCTTGAGGAACCACGGCCGATTGGCGATGGAAGGAACGGCTTCGTCCATCAGTGGGTGAAGCTTGATGAAGTTCAGCGTTTCATCCGGGAACTCGTTGGACACTTTGAATTTCTCTCCAGAGGAAGATCCTGCGCAGACGCCTGGCCTGAAGACGACAGCGGGACATCAAGCATCTCTATCTACTGCATCAGTGATATGAACATCTCAATGCTACAATCACGACAACAAGCTTAAAGCACTGTAATGAATCTCAGCTGCGACAGATATGTTGGCTGAAGTCAGGTTTATGGTTCTGCGCTGCTGCTGAATGGGAAATGCATTGCTTTATTCCCACCACAGAGGAAACAGAATTACACAGAGACGCGGTTGGCATGGTCGCTCTCATTAACACTTGACCTCGTTTCACACAAACACATCATTTTATGTTAATCAGTGCAGGCGATAGTCCCGCCGATCATTACACAAAGACGAGCCATATGGAAGCAGATCTTCGCTTTGTAAAAACGCTCCTGTGAGACGATTTAATCAGCTGCTGCATCTGGAGAATCAGGTTTACGTGCTCGCAATCACTTGTGTGTACATAACAGATACAAACACGTTTAAAGAAAATACAATAAAATATAAAATAATTAATTAAAAATAAAATAAATAAATAAAATAATAAAATTAAATTAAATATTTAATTAATGAAATTTTTAGTAGTTAATTTAATTAATTCATTATTTAAAAATGAAATGAAATGAAATCTAACTTTAATTATTATTTTAATAAGTTAAATAACTTTGAGACTATAAATGAATGCATGCATTTATGTTGATTATCCCAGAACTGTTGAATGTTGAATACTTGATTCTGATTGGTTGTCAGATGTTGAATTATTTTCTATAAGTCAGAGTTCCATGTTTGCTGACTGCATTATGGTTTCAGAACTAGTAATGCTGGTTTGAGCTGCAAGACAGCACAGGTGAACAAGGTAAATACTTTAACTAATCGATCTCACCATACTTCCCATTTGATCAATCACAGTACATTAAGACAGCTGTGTTGTATTACAAGTTGTTTAAATATGCAAATTATACATTATATAATTAAATATGCACCGATTTGCATGCAATATTGGATATTCAAAATTCTTCAGGTTCAAAATTCTTGTTTTATTTTCTTGTCATATTAGAGTTAAAGGTTTTTGGATTTCTCTCTTTATCACTCCATAAATCAGAAAATACTGTCAACAGACAGAACGCAAACACATTTTCACCATGTTTTCAGGAGTAAAATGTTGTATAAATCAGTGTGAATGAAATATGAACAAACCTTCAGAATATAGAGAGGAATAAAACTGTAACGTTTGCTGTTTGTAAGAGAATAAACTCTTTAAAGATTGAAATCGACAGATGCAAATAGATAAAGTGCAATACAATAAACACTTAAACGTGTGTTTTGGATGTTTTCTCGCCACTAGTCTGAAAGAAGAGACTTAATATGGAAGCGAAATAGACTGAAAAGTGCATGAAACACTGGTTTGGTCGGTGAATGAGGAGAATGACTGAGAGCTGGACTGTAAGTAGAGACCCAATGGAAGCGTGTGGGATGGATACCTGGGTCTGGGCACCTTTTCCTCGGGGACGGGGGTCCAGGTGGAATCTGGTGACTTCTGCTCTTTGAAGCGTCCGGTGAAGGCCGCCGAGATCTCCGCCATGTCATAAGCGCAGACGGCTGATCCCGGGATACTGCAACACACGGAGACACGCTTTCAGCAAAATAACACAACTGTGAATCACTCCTGCTCGGACACGAGCGGCACACAAGGCCGGATTGTGATCGTATGAACTGTGAATCTCAGTGAGGCAGAAGAGCCGTGGGTCAGAAGCTCTGACTAACACACCCGCATTTGTGTGTCACCTTCCCATCATCACGGGAATCACACATTTCCCAGCGGCCTGCTGGAGCTCAGTGCTGACCTGCTATTCTCTGTACCTGTTGTACGGCGTGGAGAAGGTGGCCATGACCACGTCGCGGCCGCTGATGTGGATGACGTCGGTGACGGCCTGCAGGATGTTGAAGTAGAAGTGCGAGTCTCCAGGGATGGAACAGTTGAGGCGCGTCTTCAGGAAAGAAGTCCACTGTTTCTCCAGCACTCGCTGAGAGCCGCCGCGGTCGTTCTTACACACGCGAGCCACTCGCGGAAACACCACCTGATCGGAGAGACACGTTAAACACGTCCTACATACACGTCACGCTCTCAAAAACACTAGAAACGCTTCAGGAGAATTAAACTGAGCCTGGATTCTGCATTTCTGTCCCCTGATTGAGTCACCTTTGCTGGTTTAAAAGACAATAATAGGGCTGGGTTGAAAACATTGATTTCTTGATTTGAATCGATTCTCATTTTGATGAACCAATATCGATTCTTAAATCCAAAGAATACATGTGTGCTTTTTTCAGTTGATGCGCGAACAAAACTTCTCTGAACATTATTTGTAGCTCCTGCCAGCCAATAACCACAATAATCTTTGCTACTTTTGATATGAAACAAAGTCTCAGCTCTCAAATTCTGTCAACTATTCAATCAATAAATGCTTTTGTGGCTCTTTAATGTGTGGTGTCAGATCCTCTTTACTACTAGTTATAGCAGCAAATAAACATGAACGAACATCAGAAGAATCAGTGCAACTCACTGAAATCAATCCTGAATCATGTAATCGATCAATCAGTGATTTAACCGCAGAAAGACATCAGTAAATCAGCTTGAGATCAATAATGTCATGTCATGTCATGTTATATTATAATACATTATATTACGTAATACATTTTTATAATAAAAACTGCCTTCTGTGCAATTTAAATGCTTATAAATCTTTTTAATATAGTGACAGGGTTTATTGTATAGTTTACAGCATTAGTTGAGAGATTTTTTGTATCCAAATGAATCCAGGAATCAAATTACAAGCTTGTGAATCAAAATCTAATCATGAAATTTGTCTCAATACCTAGCCTTAATTAATAGTCAGTAATAATATTGATTTAACTGCACTGACGCGATCAGATGAGAACAAAACTTGATCTGAATGACGACACAATTGAGCTGCTTTACAGCTGACATTTGAGTTTGAATCATTGATTCATAGATCACTGATTCTGTTCTGTTGATTCTGTATTGTATAAAGCGCTATAGAAACAAATGTGATGTGACATATTCCTCCTGCTGACAGCGCTGTCATAGATGTTGCTGTAATTGGAGAGCCGTTAGTGGAGTATGAGGGTAATTACAGTAATCTGGCAGGTTGGTCCGTACAGTAACTGGAGAGACTCATATTCACCAGAGACGCTCAGGCTGTAATTACTCCTCACTGAATCAGCCTCTCAAATCTCACATCTTCTGCCTCTGAACTCGCAACAATGAGTCTTTGTCATGCACTCACAACACTCACAGACCAGGAAGTCAATTCTGGACTATTTAGGGCCCGTCGTTCGGAGAGCAGACAATGTTTGTGTTATTTTTAGTACCTGTGTCCTGACGGGCCGTGCCCTAGATCTCTTAAAAACCCTCACATATTTCTTACACCCACTTCCTGTCACTTCCTGTCTGCAGTGCTGAAGCAGGAAAACACACTAGATGTTTTGCCCGTACCTTCCCCATGCTGTTGTACTCCATGGCGATTTCCCGAAAGAAGAAGTAGATGAACTCGCCATAGTTGACCGCCTGGATGAAATACGGCTCTGAAATCAACAAGAGCAACTGTGAGCTCAGATATCAAAACATCTCAGTGTGAATTAGAATCATAGTATAATGTGATGTTATCAAGTTTGAAGAGCGATGAAACAGTCCTAGAGTTGACCGGATGAGCTCATCTCTCACGGGATCAGCGGACGTGACGGCAGGTCGTGTTTCTGTCGGTAAAATCACCTCACCTTTCAGCCATTTAGAGTCGTGTTTGACCGTCCTGAGGGTGGCGCTGTCACCCAGACTGCGGTAGATCACCGCATCGATCGCCAGGAAGTCCGTGACCGTGGCCGAGTATAACTTCCCATCTACAGCAGAAAACAACAGCGTTTAAACACTTCAAAATGAATCCAACATCTATACAAAAACCAAACAACCTCTCAACTACAAATACAACACTCTGTGATCCTTATATCTAATTATATTATATTAAATGTATGCATTTATAATGAACCATATTCCCTGCTGTATTTTATGCTGTCTAATTTTCCTGAATTAATTTTCTTGAAAATTTTAGGATTTTCTCTTAGAAATAGCCAGTAAATTGCACAAATAATTACAAAGAAATGGCAAGTAACACATTGATTGATTGACATGACATTTTGAAGTAGATTTTTTATGTAAAATATCTTCGTTTTTTTACTTGGAAACATGATTTTTTGCTGTGTATAATGGCGTTATTTTAGCCGCACGAGCGCTGGGAAGGCAGAACTTTCTCTGGCCTGCGACTGGAAGGTTTTACGGCCGCTAATGGAGGAATGAGTCATGCGGGTTTTCCATCTCTAGGGTTATTTTTGCTGCTGTGTTTCGGGGAGGGACTCCCAGAGACGCTCTCTAACCGCAGCACAATAGTTTCATGTGTTTCCAAAGCGGCCGCACACGAGTCGCTGCCAGCAAACGCTCTTCGGGTCAGAAGCTCTGACTAACACACCCGCATTTGTGTGTCACCTTCCCATCATCACGGGAATCACACATTTCCCAGCGGCCTGCTGGAGCTCAGTGCTGACCTGCTATTCTCTGTACCTGTTGTACGGCGTGGAGAAGGTGGCCATGACCACGTCGCGGCCGCTGATGTGGATGACGTCGGTGACGGCCTGCAGGATGTTGAAGTAGAAGTGCGAGTCTCCAGGGATGGAACAGTTGAGGCGCGTCTTCAGGAAAGAAGTCCACTGTTTCTCCAGCACTCGCTGAGAGCCGCCGCGGTCGTTCTTACACACGCGAGCCACTCGCGGAAACACCACCTGATCGGAGAGACACGTTAAACACGTCCTACATACACGTCACGCTCTCAAAAACACTAGAAACGCTTCAGGAGAATTAAACTGAGCCTGGATTCTGCATTTCTGTCCCCTGATTGAGTCACCTTTGCTGGTTTAAAAGACAATAATAGGGCTGGGTTGAAAACATTGATTTCTTGATTTGAATCGATTCTCATTTTGATGAACCAATATCGATTCTTAAATCCAAAGAATACATGTGTGCTTTTTTCAGTTGATGCGCGAACAAAACTTCTCTGAACATTATTTGTAGCTCCTGCCAGCCAATAACCACAATAATCTTTGCTACTTTTGATATGAAACAAAGTCTCAGCTCTCAAATTCTGTCAACTATTCAATCAATAAATGCTTTTGTGGCTCTTTAATGTGTGGTGTCAGATCCTCTTTACTACTAGTTATAGCAGCAAATAAACATGAACGAACATCAGAAGAATCAGTGCAACTCACTGAAATCAATCCTGAATCATGTAATCGATCAATCAGTGATTTAACCGCAGAAAGACATCAGTAAATCAGCTTGAGATCAATAATGTCATGTCATGTCATGTTATATTATAATACATTATATTACGTAATACATTTTTATAATAAAAACTGCCTTCTGTGCAATTTAAATGCTTATAAATCTTTTTAATATAGTGACAGGGTTTATTGTATAGTTTACAGCATTAGTTGAGAGATTTTTTGTATCCAAATGAATCCAGGAATCAAATTACAAGCTTGTGAATCAAAATCTAATCATGAAATTTGTCTCAATACCTAGCCTTAATTAATAGTCAGTAATAATATTGATTTAACTGCACTGACGCGATCAGATGAGAACAAAACTTGATCTGAATGACGACACAATTGAGCTGCTTTACAGCTGACATTTGAGTTTGAATCATTGATTCATAGATCACTGATTCTGTTCTGTTGATTCTGTATTGTATAAAGCGCTATAGAAACAAATGTGATGTGACATATTCCTCCTGCTGACAGCGCTGTCATAGATGTTGCTGTAATTGGAGAGCCGTTAGTGGAGTATGAGGGTAATTACAGTAATCTGGCAGGTTGGTCCGTACAGTAACTGGAGAGACTCATATTCACCAGAGACGCTCAGGCTGTAATTACTCCTCACTGAATCAGCCTCTCAAATCTCACATCTTCTGCCTCTGAACTCGCAACAATGAGTCTTTGTCATGCACTCACAACACTCACAGACCAGGAAGTCAATTCTGGACTATTTAGGGCCCGTCGTTCGGAGAGCAGACAATGTTTGTGTTATTTTTAGTACCTGTGTCCTGACGGGCCGTGCCCTAGATCTCTTAAAAACCCTCACATATTTCTTACACCCACTTCCTGTCACTTCCTGTCTGCAGTGCTGAAGCAGGAAAACACACTAGATGTTTTGCCCGTACCTTCCCCATGCTGTTGTACTCCATGGCGATTTCCCGAAAGAAGAAGTAGATGAACTCGCCATAGTTGACCGCCTGGATGAAATACGGCTCTGAAATCAACAAGAGCAACTGTGAGCTCAGATATCAAAACATCTCAGTGTGAATTAGAATCATAGTATAATGTGATGTTATCAAGTTTGAAGAGCGATGAAACAGTCCTAGAGTTGACCGGATGAGCTCATCTCTCACGGGATCAGCGGACGTGACGGCAGGTCGTGTTTCTGTCGGTAAAATCACCTCACCTTTCAGCCATTTAGAGTCGTGTTTGACCGTCCTGAGGGTGGCGCTGTCACCCAGACTGCGGTAGATCACCGCATCGATCGCCAGGAAGTCCGTGACCGTGGCCGAGTATAACTTCCCATCTACAGCAGAAAACAACAGCGTTTAAACACTTCAAAATGAATCCAACATCTATACAAAAACCAAACAACCTCTCAACTACAAATACAACACTCTGTGATCCTTATATCTAATTATATTATATTAAATGTATGCATTTATAATGAACCATATTCCCTGCTGTATTTTATGCTGTCTAATTTTCCTGAATTAATTTTCTTGAAAATTTTAGGATTTTCTCTTAGAAATAGCCAGTAAATTGCACAAATAATTACAAAGAAATGGCAAGTAACACATTGATTGATTGACATGACATTTTGAAGTAGATTTTTTATGTAAAATATCTTCGTTTTTTTACTTGGAAACATGATTTTTTGCTGTGTATAATGGCGTTATTTTAGCCGCACGAGCGCTGGGAAGGCAGAACTTTCTCTGGCCTGCGACTGGAAGGTTTTACGGCCGCTAATGGAGGAATGAGTCATGCGGGTTTTCCATCTCTAGGGTTATTTTTGCTGCTGTGTTTCGGGGAGGGACTCCCAGAGACGCTCTCTAACCGCAGCACAATAGTTTCATGTGTTTCCAAAGCGGCCGCACACGAGTCGCTGCCAGCAAACGCTCTTCCCAGAAACAGGGAGCGACTGTTGCTCCGGCCGTATTCCCACATTCTTCTGACAGACGTTCATTATGGAAGTGTTTCAGACGTGATGGCGGTGTCTTACCGGCGAACAGGGCCACGTTGGCGTGTTTGGCGTCATATGGGCAGCGCGCCATTCCGCTGATCTCATCGCCCACGGCATCCAGACTGTCCATCTGCAGGAATGAAGGGAATGGTCAGAGGTCAGAGGTCAAACCCACCCTAACCTTCAGCGTCTGAGACTTTCACACATGTCGGGGTGTTATTTTTAAAGCTCTTCCTCTCTGATGCCTGCCAAGACCAGCCGCTCACGCCAGCCGCTCATTTCGCTTGCTATTTCTATCGTGGCGAATCTGAAGAAGGGTCAATCAGGAGTCGAACGCACTCACATGTGATGTATCAGGAACCCAATTAACATTCCTCCGAAAATACACTGAAACAAACACGGATCAGGAATGTCAGGGTATTCCCACTCCGCAGCACAACAGGGAGGAAGAACAAACCAGGAATTTCACCGATTAATAAACTCGTGACGGCATCAATATTAGCAATTACACCACACAGTTTACAAGATCAGATACCTGTCAAATACAGCATTTACTCTGATCTTTAACATCACATCTTCACATCTTTGCCTTTCTTTGAACAAAACCAATGCTTGAAAATGCTGGATTCGTTATTATTCTTACAACAATAGAACAGTACAATGATAAACTCACTTATATTAAACAGAACATTTATTGTGTACGGAGTACGGAGCTGCACATGACAAAGATATATTTATTGCAGCCACAAATTGAGAATTCCTTCCTCCGACTCGATTCGTTCCCTCGTTTGATTAGATCATGGCCACGCTGTACTAATGAATTCCATCATTTTGACATAATTAAAATGAGACAAATTACTACATAACTTAGCAATGATTTACCACAACAAAGGAATTAATTCTTAATTTGTGGGCAACGATATTTATATTTGTCCCGCATGTCATGTGTGCAGAAAGATCTCTTTCATGAAGCTTCTTTGAAACAAACTTGATTGTATAAAGCACTATAGAAATAAATGTGACCATGTAATAATATAAAGAAAAAAAACCTCATAATTAGTCACTGAACAGAGAGACTGCAGCAGCACATCAACACCTTCGGTATGAATGCTGATTAAAGCTGGTTTATTCAACAGGTTCAACAGTCATAAATCAGTCGGGAAAAAATAAATGCCATGAAATGCTGTTTAAGGCAAGCATAATGTATTATGTACTCGAAAGCTGATTTAATTCTCATTCACATCTGACAAAATTTTTTTTTTCTCTATAAGGGCTACTGGATCTTAGCGCTGCGTTCGACACTATCGACCACAACATTCTTTTGCGTAGACTACAAAATGATGTTGGCATTAGTGGAATTGCATTGTTTTATCTGACCGTCAACAATTCGTAGCAGTGAATGACAAGATATCATATCGATCACAAGTACAGTATGGAGTACCACAAGGCTCAGTACTAGGACCGTTGCTTTTCACACTTTACATGTTACCCATGGGAGATACCATCAAGAAACATGGTGTTAGCTTTCACTGTTATGCTGATGATACTCAGCTCTATATTTCTTCACGGCCCAATGAAACATACCATTTCGCAAAACTAACGGAATGCATAGTTGACATAAAAACTGGATGACTAGTAATTTCCTACAGCTAAATTCTGAAAAAACAGAGGTGTTAATTATTTTACCAAAAACCTCCGCATGTAATAACCTAGAACACTGTCTAACACTTGATGGCTGCTCTGTTAATTCCTCGTCATCAGTTAGGAACCTAGGTGTGCTATTTGATAGCAATCTTTCATTTGAAAGTCATGTTTCTAGCATTTGTTTAGATATATTAAAAATATATCTAAATTATGACCTATGCTCTCAATGTCAAATGCAGAAACATTAATTCATGCGTTCATGACCTCAAGGTTAGATTATTGTAATGCTTTATTGGGTGGTTGCTCTGCGCACTTAATAAACAAAGTCCAGCTGGTCCAAAATGCAGCAGCTAGTGTTCTTAGAGTGTTTACTATTGTCTTCTTGCATTATTGATAAACTATTTTCCTGTTTGACACTGTAAAGCTGCTTTGACACAATCTGTATTGTATTGTATTGATATAAATAAAGCTGACTTGACTTAAATGTATCCTAACAGAATTGCAATTTGAATTTAAGAGAATAGATTTAAAATGAACTGAAATTCAACGAAATTGTCAAAAAGAAAGATTTATCAAAACTCTGAATTATAGCTTGACAAAGGTTGTGCAAAAGTTAAAGTATGATAAAAGAAAAGTAAAAAATATATAAACTTCTGTATAATTTATATTACTTATTTAATATCTTTGCATCTGCCTTACTTTAAAACAAATACTTACTTTGTGGTTCATTATCATTAAGTCGCATTGTTTGTGATGAACTAAATGGGTAATGTATAGCCCAACACTGTGTACCACCGGTAACACCGAATACCGCAATAGAACAAATTCAGAATGGGTTGTTATCACAGCCATGTGATGGCAGGCGCTCCGATCATCTCTGAAATAGTTACGGGCCGCTTCTGTTGTCAGTAATGCAGCTCGTCCCGCTCCGCCTGGCAACAGCTGATGTAATGGACACCAGCCGTATATCCAGCAGCTCATGCTGGCATGAGGCGCTCGGAGCCGGGCACGAGTGCGGCCGCAGATGGGCTCTCGGGAGGAGGCCGTGGATCAGAGCATCCGTTCAGGAGAACATTTGTACACTGATGATTAATCTGGGACGACTTTGGCCCTCAAACAGACGCTCTTTTCAGAGCCGTCGCACCAGGGATATGGAAAGCAGACATGCTGTCAGAGTGGACACTACGCCGCCAGAACCGCGCCGCTCGAGGGTTTCCAAAAGCTGACGGTCCGCGGGGGAAAATCTGTGAGCGGCTAGTGGTGCTTTTGGCAATCGTGCTTCAGCATCTCTCTCTGCTGGACCGAGCCAGTTATTAGACAGCGACGGCTGGCAGAAGATCTCGCACACGCTTCTCTTCCGGTCATTCTGTGATTCACTGACTGATGATGGAGCCAAATTGAGCAAAAACACTGAACAAGCTCAAAACACAGAGACTAAACCAGCCACTCAATGTGAAAACAGCATTTAGAGCCAATACCATCACAGCAAACACCATGAAAACCAGCCTTTTTTTCGGGTTCCCTCACAAACACGCTGGTGAACTCAAAGCCGAAGTGTGTTGACTATTTCTAAACCAGTTTACCAATCACTGGTCAGACAACACATGATCACACTGACACAGGGATCCTGCATGTTTAGGGCAAGTTTAAAAAATCCTATAACTAATTGAACAGTGTTGGGGAAAGATGCTTTTAAAAGTAACGCATTACAATATTGCATTACTCCATACAAAAGTAACTAATTGCGCTACGTTACTTTTGTGTTACTTTTTGTCACTGCGCTGCATTTGCTTACTTGTTTTTTAATAACAAAAAAACCCAAAGTTATATTTTTGGCAACTGTAAAGTTTCTTTCACATCAGAAGTGAATGAATAAACCTCAGACTGAAGGAAGAGTCTCTGTCTCTGATTTCTCTCAACATGCGGACAGGAGAGCTGTCAGTCAACAAAGGAGTTTGAAAAAGCAACTTAGATATTTTGTTGTAAATGTAAAAGTTACTTTACTAGTTACTTGAAAACAGTAATCTGATTACGTTACTTGTAATGCATTACCCCAACACTGCAACTGAACAACACTGAAGTGACTAGAGCTGAATTACGACACTATTGTCTTCCGTAGAGCTGCTTCACAGCGGAGTTTGTCTCATATTTGATGAAGTTTGCAACACTGATTCTGTTATTTTCTGTGAAGCTTCTTTGACACAAACTGCATTGTGAAACACCCTGCAGCAACATTGTATCATCATCAGCGTCTGCCACGCTTTCATTCAGCTGTTTGGATGTCAAATGAGCAGCGCGGCTGAGGTCAGAGGTCAGAGGTCAGAGGTCAGAGGTCACGCTAACACAGCAGCCTTACCTTGTAGGTCCGACAGGACGGGTTGAAGGCATTGGTTCCGCACACAAACAGAGAGTCGTCGCTCTGCTGCAGCAGGACCTTGATGAAGTTATGGCACTCGTCCTGGAACGAGACGAGAAACACGTCTGTGTGCAGTACACTTAATCAATCCTCCATCATTACATCATCTCTGCTGAATAAAATCCAACGCTTTTGGCTGCGGATTCCAAAAATAGTGTCTGTTTTGCTGGAGAGACTCACACGTTCTCACTAAACATTTCGTAGCATCTTTGCTTTTACAACTTTGTACCCCAAACACATGATTCCTGTCTGAATCTGAGACAGATTACAATTATTTGTTCAATTTTCACATGTATATGACATTATTTGTTTGTCTGTTCCTGATTTCGAGGTCAGAATTATGGCCAGTGACAGAAGAAAATGCAAACATGAGCCAAAAGTTTTCTGCTTTTACTGCATCCAAACAGATGATAAAATTATAGATGTTATTGGGAAAAAGCTTATTTAATTCTAAAAGTGTTTGTAAAGTTTTTGACATTAAATAGAGTATTTGAACATTTTTTTACACTCCTTTGCAGATTGCAAGTTTTAAATACTTTTTTTATTTTTTATTTAAAATTTAAGCATTTTAAATACTTATTTTTGTCATTAAAAACTGATTTTTTTTATTTTTTTATTTGACTTTAATTAATTTGAAAAGTCTGGATTCCTATTTAGAGAAAAAACTGTACATGGAAAGTTTTTAATTGATATTTTTGAACTCATCATCATCAGATTAGGTAATATTAGGCCTTTTATGCAAACATGAGCCAGATTTTCTGTAGTGCATGCAAACAGCCACAGATAATCACAGATCTTATGAAAAAAGCTTATTTATTTATAAACTAGTGTTTATGTAAAGTTATTTGACATTAAATGGAGTATCTGAACATTTTCCACTCCTTTACAGATTGTAAATTAAATGATACAATTTGCACTTTTTGTCATTAAAACCAACATTTTTATAATTTGGCTGCTTTTGTGACTAAGTGCATTAATGCTGGCACACATATATATAATTTGAAAAAAATCATTCTTATTTTTTGTGAAAAACTTGAAAGATTTTATTGATGTTTTTGAACTCAGCATCATCAAATTATGTAATATCAGGCCTTTCTTTGCAAATCAGCAGATATTTTTCTCAGGGTGCAGGGCTGTGCGATCAATGACATCATCACTCCTCGGTGACATCATCACTCATCTGTGACATCATCACTCCTCGGTGACATCATCACTCCTCGGTGACATCATCACAGCGCAGCTGTACCTTGTGTTTGCCTTTCATCCTGCAGGTGTCCACGTCGGCCTGCCTGGACTTCCACGTCAGCTTCTGTCGACAGAAAATCAATGTCAGATCGATAGATTGGACTCAATTACAGCTCTCTGTCACGGCCTGGAGGGTCAAACGAGCCCTGATGACTGATTAAACTACATCCCGCTCTGATCGATCTCCATCAATCAGCCTGAGGTCCACACATGAATCTGGGCCTCGCTGCGTGACGCATGACAGCGACTCCTGATGAGATAAAGCTCTTAGAGAGAGAGAGAGAGACGCTTGCTTCGTTTGCTGCCAGGTAATTAAGAGCAGGACAGAACTCTATCCTCAGACTCACCTTACTGAAGAAGATCTCCTCCGCATTGGCCGTCTCGATGTCCACCGTGTAAATGTGATCCCTGTGAAGACATTCACACTTTCATTCTTCTTCAGCTTCAATATCAGAGACACTCATGTGAGGAAAGAGACTGGCCACATTAATAATCACTATTACAGCATCAACAGCATTAATAAACAGTGAGGACACTGCAGTCCTGTAGTGAGCGTGTGTAGGCTGTAAATCCTGAGCAGCTTTATAAATGAACAAATGCCAGACGCTGCTTCTGTTCCACCGTTGCAGTGTAAAGAGGGCTTTTGTTGAGGTTGATCACATCAGACTGGTAACAGTCTATAATATTCTGAATGAAGCAACTGGTTCAATTTAAGTATTTGACATGAAAAAAAAACCGGATACATTTTATAAGGTAATTCTGAAAAATTGTCCCTGGAAATCAATCCCACTGAGCAAATATTGGAATTTTCTAACTCTGCACACAAACATATTTTTAGAATTACAAAATCAATTTTTGAATTTAAATTCCAATTTGAATGGAGACAACAAACAGGATACAGAATTTCAGTTTAGATTTAAGAAAGTAGTATTAAAACGAACTGAAATTCAACAAAATTTGTTAGAAAGGAAGGTTTATCAACACAAACCTTGACTTATTATAGTTAACTAAAATGATTAAAAACATTTTAATTAACTGAAATAAAATAAAAATGAAATCAGATGAATGAAAATTCGAAATGCTGCCTTGGCAAATAACTGAAATATGTTTAAGCCGAAGAACTAAAATTAAACTAAAACTGAACTAAAACTAAAAAACTACAATTGAAATAAAAATAAATTACCTGAATAAAATAAACAAACCAAATCAAAATGAAAACTATACAAATAATGCTGTGCAAATGTTGTAAAAAATAAATAAATAAATCTTGCACATAATGTATATATACACTTAAGAAATATAAACTAAATTAAACATTAAACAAAATTATGGACAAGGATGACAGAACACTTCATTAGCTGATGAATTTCTCAGAATGATGATTCAGTAAATTCCAGGTCAACTTCTCTTGTGTTCTGGCCATTTCTTCGAATCTGAGCTGCCATGTTGATGTTCATGTGTGTAAGATTATCTCACGCGACTGGAACATGTTTTGAATCTGATCCAGTGTTCAGACTTGAGATGAATTCAATCCAATCTTCCTTGCTACTTCAATCTAATAGAAAAGCCATTTGTGAAATGAATGCTGTTGCGCGGGTCACCAGAGGCGCAGCGATCTCAAGACCAGTAATGAATCACAGTGGC